GCTCTCTTTTGTTTTTCAGATTTTCTCATAGAGGATACTCCTTCCTACTACCAACATCACATACTCAATGACGGAGTTTTTAGTCTATTTTCTGGCTATAATGATAATGGAATTATTTTTATTAAACATCTGTTACTGCCTGTGTGCTCTGAATATATACTGGTTCAGGTGTAGCCTGAAGACTGCCTTTGTGAGGAAGTAGGGAATACTGAAAGAGTGATTGAGGGATATTTAGGTTTCATCTAAAACCAAAATATATTAGTGTCTCAGTTACTTTTTTGTTGCTGAGACAAAACACCTGACACCCACAAGTTAAAAGAAGAAAGGTTTATTTTAGTTCACAGTTTGTAGAGGTTTCAGTCCAGAGTCAAGTGACTCTGGGAGGGGATATAGCTCAGTGGCACAAGCACCTGCCTGGCAAGTGCAAGGTCCTGAGTTCAAAGCCCAGTACCAAACCAAACCAAACAAAACAAACAAACAAAAAAAAAACACCTGAAAGAGTGAATAAAAATTAGGAGGTATGATAGACATTGTGAAACTAAAGGGAAATGCTCAGAGTCAAGTGGCTCCAAGGCAGGGCAGTATGGCAGAAGGTAAAGAAGAACCAGTCCATGGCAGGACAGGCAGAAAGCACCAAAGCAGCCCCAGCATCGAGCCACCCTTTTCCTTTTATTCCACTTAGGCTACAAGCCTATTGGTTGGTACCACCCACGCTCAGGGTGGCCTTCCCTTCATCCACACTCAGAACTATGGGTTAATTTAGTTACTACACACTCTTTATACTCACACACCCTATATCCAGCCACCAGTAAAAACACCCACCTATGTGTTCATGAAGCTTTGGTTGGACATCTGCATACAAGCCATAATGGTTAAACCTGTAACTTAGTAAAGGTAGTTGTAGCATAATAATGCAAGCTGAAATGTTGAAAAAAGTCAAAACCAGAGGATATTCTGGAAGACTTACCAGCCTCTTGAAAGTGCAGGTAGAACACCCATCATGCAATGATTTAGATAATTTTAACAGTAATGAGCAGAGTTAATACTCAGGAAGAATCAAGACAAAGAACCAAGACAAAACAAATCCACACACACCTTCCACAAGTATTTATCTTGACAGTCTATCATTTCATTGATTCAATACCACAAGATTGGGGGGGCATGCAGTACTGGGGATTAAATTTAGGAGCACGTACATATTAAAAAAGCATCCAGCCACTGAGCTACATCTTCAGGCGTTTTTATTTTGAGACAGGGTCTAATTTGCTCAGGCTGGCTTCAAACTTGCAATGCGTTCACCTTGGCCTCCTGAGTAGCTAGGATTACAGGTGTGTGCCACCATGCCCAGCAAGCCCAATATTATCAATATTTTCTCCAGCCTGTCTGCAGTTTTTAAAAATGCATCTAGAACGTGGCTAATGTAATGATTACCTGGGAAACAGTGCCATCTTCTGGTAGTTTATAAACTAAATGCCAGACATTTCCTCCCCCAAAATAGCTAGTTTAAAAAAAAAAAAAATTTATTTATTCTATGTGTATTTATTGAGTCCCCCTACATATGACTCTTTTAAGTTCCTAACATATGCAATAAGGTGTAAATGATTAGATGAAAATAACATTATAGCTCACTTTATTTTGCTCCTTATCTTGCGGTCATTTCTGGCTCTACCAGAAAGTATTTTAAGCAGCTAACATTAATTCTACCCTTTTTAGTCATCAAATTCTTTGAACAGATTTCCCTTAATTCAAGTAGTTTTCATATAATATCGGAACTCAGAAAGACTTAGGAACAGTTACCTATTATACTCTCCTCTCTAGCATGTCCACCTTAATTTGAGATGTGATTCCTCAGTATCATTTGATAACAGCAGTAAGAAATTCTTTTAAAAAGGCGCCATGCATCTGAGCTCAGCCTCCATCTCCACTAAGAAGGTGTGTGTCCCTCCTCCAGAGCTGCCTGTCACCGCGTAGGTACATCACACCATTCTCAAACTGGCTCTCACTTGGCTATTTTTTGTTGTTGTTGTTGTTTTTCTTCTCGTACCGGGAATCAAACTCAGGACCTCGGCGCTTGCCAGGCAGGCGCTGTGCCACTGAGCTAAATCCCCAGCCCCCACTTGAATACTTTTATAACTACAGTGCAAACTCCTGCAGAGCGAGGCCTGCATTCCATTTGTGTCCCAAGCCCCTCACACACGGCTAGAACATTCTTTGGGCTGTGTGCACGTATGTGTTACTGAAGACTGGACTGAGGGCCTTTCCACTGAGCTATATCTCCAGCCCCTTTTCACTGTTTTTGTTTTGGGGGCTTGGTTTGTTGTTTTTGAGACAGAGTCTAAGTTGCCCAGGCTGGGGCTGAACTCATGATCTTTTTGCCTCAGCCTGCCAACGTACTGGGATTACAGGCACAAGTCACCACCCTGGCTTGGCTTGTTTCTGAAGAATGAAAGCATTCAAATTATTCCTGGTTGAGGTATTGGTTCTTCGTTCAAGCAAATCTTTAGAGATCTACATCAGAAGGAAGACACCGATATCTACTGAGCACCTCCCACACAGCAGAAGCGGGGCCAGGGGCTTACACACATTTACCCCATACAATCCATAAAGCCAGTTTTGGCACAGCTGACAGCGAAGTGTGGTAAAGGAAACGATTGTGGTCCAAACAAGGCAACCCAGGCACAAAGGTTTCAATTATGGGCTGAAAATAATTCAGAATTTCTGTAGAAATCAAGGCTCAATTCGGGGCCAACTTCCTAACCATTTCTTAAGAATGAGATTTTGACTGCTGGGCAATAAAGGCTGCTGTCTGACAAGTGTCCGGGAGACAGGAATTAGTGCTGACTGAGGGTCGGATTCGCACTATCACTGCAGCTGAAGCTGAGGACAGAACTTCACCCCCCCGTAGGAAACGAGTGGTCCGAGGAGGCCCGGCTCAGGAAGGGAGCTTTCCAACTCTGCACCAGCACTCATGAACGTTTCTGGCTGTGTGTCAATACACGAACAAATGCATCAGGGACCCTGCCTTGTGTCCATAGAGCATGAAGGCTATAATTTTAGCCTGAATTAGAAAATAAAAACAGAAACCCACACACCCTTTATTTGGTGCACAAGTGCATGCACTACATTTCTAATGCGTCCACAAAAATACCCCGTATTTGACTGGTGCCATCGTTGTATTTAGAAAGACTGGCAGGACTTTGGATATAGATTTGGAATAAACCTACATGAATATTGACTCCTACAAACTCCAGACACTAAAGTCTATCTCATCACCTTTAAATGTCAAACACTGGATTTACTACCAACCAGGACACTATATAAAAGAACATATCCAAAAGGTAGGTGGAGGGCTGGGGATTTAGCTCAGCAGCACAGTGCCTGCCTGGCAAGCGCAAGGTCATGAGTTCAATTCCTGGTACTGGAAAAAAAAACAAAAGGTAGGTGGGAAAATCAGAACTGTATTAACAAGGTACAAAGTAGGGAAACTAGTGCCAGGCTGAGGATGAAGGGGAGAGGTGAACTAGAACCCGGCAGATGTTCTCTGCCACTGTCTCACTGCCAAGGTGAGTCAGCTTCCCAGGAGAGGGTGTGGTTTCCATGGGAACACGCAGCTGCCAGTGGTGAGGGCGTGGCTGAGGGCACGGCTGCCATGGGAGCAGAGATAGATGTAACTTGAGGTGCTGGAGCCCTCTGCTTAGACTGCTGGGCTCCTGTGGTAGACAAGAATGCAGAAGCAGCACCTGGACGTAAATGGGTCTTTTTGCTGCTACTGCTCAGCAGTGCCACTCCAGTGCCCTCTACTGACGCAGCCTAACATTCTACCAGCTGGCAAAGAAGAGTGGAGAAAAGAGTTCAGCTCCAGGAGCACCAAGCACGACAGACAGGAGGCGGTCTGGAGCTGCAGGAGTCAACTGCCGTGGTTCACTCCTTTGGTGTGGCGCTTGCACATAAACCCACGCTGTCCGATGTTTACTGAGCGTTTGAAATGCTTAGAATATATGCTAGATCTTAAAGGCTAAGTACCAAAAAATACTGTAGACTATCTCATTAGTTTTTTGTGTAGTGTACATCAATTCCACGCAGAAATGATGTTTTTGATATATTAAGCTGAATCAATTATACAAAAAGTAATTCCTCTATTTTTAATTGGGGTGCTAGAAAAACCTGAAATTACATATATGGCTTGTATCCCAGGTAACTAAGTCATGCCTGGGTGGCCGGAATCATTAGCCGCACTGGAAATGAAGTTTTTAAAATCCAATGGCTTCATTTTAGTGAAACAGCCTTTCCAGTTGCACCCTCTCCTCCCCACAGGGTTAGGGCTTCAGTCCACTACACATCCGGGTTCTACAAGCACCACTAACACCAGCCCTCCTCACCTACAGTTCAGAGTGACAGTCCCAAAGGTGATTCTCACTGTGTACACTTCCTTTCTGCCATCTCCCTCTTCAACACCAATTTCCAGAATAAATACACTTATGGTGACCAATAAATACTGAATGTGTACTTGCTACATAAATCAGTCTGAACGAAAACATCTCCAGAAGAAACCATACAACGGAGGACATAATGCAGTAAAGATCTCTCAAGTGCAGATTTGGAAAAAAAATGTAGCTTCTACTCCTGGTCTGACCTCCTAGGGTGAAGTCATGTAGATATCAGGCCCTCTGTTTCTGCATCTGCTCAGAGAAAGACAGAGCTGAATTCAGTTTTATTTAAACTTAGTCGTCAGATCCTTTTAGGGATTAAAATTAACTTTTAAAAAATACTAAACTAAAAGGTAAAACACATTACTCTTATTAAAGACAAACTCTGGCTTTAGTCCAGAGTGTGGCTCCAATATAAAGTCAGTCTACGTCTTGCTGTGTCACAGCTTGAAAGACACTGCCGCAGATGAATTTCTGGAAATCTGGTACCATCTCAATTCTTAAGAGATTCATTTGTTTTAAAACTGTTCCAAGACCAGTAAGTCACAAAGTATGAAATCCAGACTTAATATGGAAAGGTTTAAAAAGCTAGAATTTATTTGGTGCACACTTTGCTTGCCATGAGGCATTTTCACATACTCCTTTCAGCAACCATGTGAGGTATTTTGCAGTTTAAAAAAAAAAATAAGCTACCTCCTTAATCAAGGAGAAGAACAGGTTATACGTGTGGCTAAATAAAAACAAAACAAAAACCAAATTCAGGCTATTTTCATTTCCTTTATGCATTCTCTACGTATATCACACATTTATTTTTAGCATGAGAAGGAAAGAAAACCAGTTCAAATAAAAGGAAATCTTTGCTGTAACTTCTGTCTGTAGGTGCTCCCTCTAGCCTACTAATTTTCTACTCTACGCACAAGAGGCTTAAATCCTTTCAATATCTGAGATAATTTTAAGGTGATCTAGTACTCTGAATACTTTGTTCACACAGGAAACACATTTGCCTAAAAACAGCACAGTTTTTCAAAGGCAATCTTACAACAGAAAAAGGCAAAGGTTCATTTGATGGGAATGATTTCAATAAAATACCTTTGAGAAAGTAGAAAAAACGTGTAAGAACAACTTTATAAAAATGCAGCACCACCACTGCCTCAGTGAATGAGCAAACACTAACAAGTGAAAATTACCCACGAATTATACAGGATTTTTTTAAATAACCTATTTTGATATTTAGAAGTTCAAGTCATATAAACTGTTACAATACGATTTTCTTCTACTTAGGAAGTGAACACTGACATCAAGTCATTTTATAAAATAAAAAATAGTTCCCAATAAACAGTGACTACTGAATTGTTACCAAAAAAATCTTCAATATGTAATTTTATGCCATTTGTAAGCTTTTCCCAACAGAAATTTTGCATTAAAAACAATATAGCTAATCTAGTCAAGTTACATATGTATTTGACAAAGACATGTTTGAGCTTTCTGGTTTTCATTTCTTAGACGACTTTCTTCAGCAATCTTATCAGTCCTAAAATCATGCCACAAAGTACAGCTCACAAAGAAACAAGATGTGAAAACTAACTTTTATTTTTAAGTGCCCCCTTCCTTAACTGAATATTATCAGCGATGTCATCAAATTATATTTTGTAATCAAATACCATCTATTAAGTATATGTTGAGTGTGTACATGTAGATATGTACATATATGTTCCAATGAATATTCATATTCAATGAATAAACTTTGTACCAGCACACTAAACTTCATATGGTTTATTTTAAATGCTTGCTGGTTCCAGATAATTAAAAACCACACACTGTATGGCAGCAACTATAGTACATATACAGTTCTTTAAAAGGTAGTTATCACGTAACAGTGGAAGATAATTTTTAAAACTACAAATGACACAGCATAAGGCTCTGTGGTTGAATAATCAGCAAATTAAAAACATCAGAGAAAAGTCTTGAAGAATAAAACAGGTTGTCCGTTAGAAGAACTTATTCCTTCCTTCCTCAAACAGCCGATTATGGATGGACATTAAAATATGCAAATAAAAGGTTACTGAGATTGCTAGAAAAGATTTCAGTTGCAGTATTTGATGAGGTCAGACTTTCATGGCAAGCTGAAAATTAATCTGTTGGTACAGAAGATATAACTGTTCATTTGTACAGAAGTTTAATTACATTTGAAACAATACAGCAAAAATCTCAAAGTTTACTCCTTAAATATAATTTAACTCTTACAAACTTCCTTTTGAAAATGTAATTCAGATGTGCTGCAACCTCCTAAGTTTAAATTCAAAATGAAATATGAAGGCAGTAGTCAGGGAAATCACATCAGATTGTTTTGCCAAAAATCTGTACATAGCAGTACATCTCTCTTCTGTAATACGGTAGGAAAAAACAGATCCTAAATATATCCAAGTAAGTGCAGAAAAATACATAGTTATTTGAGGCAGATCATGCTGAAATATAACGTACAATGATTAGTTTGCATTTAAGGTGGTTAATAATGCTTTTTAAACCAATAACATTAAGGTGAATTAAATTTTGTAGCATTTGCTCAGTCTTTTATACTAAACATTAGTCCATTTGAAAAGTAAATTAAGATTGAAAGAAGCAAAAAGCCTGATCATTCTTCCTATGCTCATTTTCTCAGCACACTAAATGCAAACAAATCAATATAGCATTGAGATTTTTCATGTATTAAAATGAAGACCAGCGACCTGCAAAGACAGACTGTGCACCGAGCAGTGTACACAACAGGTGAGTTTGCAGTTAGCATCAACTCAATTTTTTTAAATAACAGCAAGATTTACAAGGCAAAATAAACAGCTGATTTAAAAATTCTGCTGTTCAAGATAATCCAGTTGTCCTTTTTTCTCTCTGACGTTGGTAAGGAGTGGGTTTTTAAAAACCTGAAGAGGAGTCTGTAAGAGGAAAACAATCCTCAGATTTTAAAAAATCTCAACTGGTTAGGAGTCCATACAACTACTACGCTGGCTGGCATAGCAACAGACGCTTTCCGTCACCACACCATCCATGTTGCAGTAATAGTTGCTTCAAGCCAAGTAAACAAAGATGTAAGTTAGCTTACCCATGATGAAAACGGAAGTGATCCCTCAAACACAGGAGCAAGATACCTCACCCAAAAAGATCTTTCAAATCATTGCTAGCTGAACTGCTACTGGTCATAGTAGTGGGCGGCTGTACAAAGTTCTGTGGGTTAAAAAAAGGGTTACCCTGCATGCCGAAGGCAGACTGTCCTATCATGTTCACCTGTGGTCCCAGCACTGAAGCACCCACACCTGGAGAACCCTGAGGAGGCACAAACTGATTAAGCCACTGGTTTGGTTTCTGCTGTGACAGCTGGTTCATGCTAACTTTGGGTTTCTGAGGACCAAAGAGATTATTAAGTGCAGACATATCTGTGGGTCTCTGCTGGGTCTGCTTCGCACCAGCAGGAGGAACGCTCAGAGCACTGAAGTTTGGCAGGGTTGAAGGCGCTCCCAGAGTCAGACTGCTTACTCCAGGCGTGCCTGTACTGCTGAAGAAGTTCTGGTTTGTGTTCACCGGCACGCTGAATGCCGAAGTCTGAAAGCCCATATTGCCATTCAGGCCGTTCGTCAAACTTCTCTTCGTATTATCAATTGGTGTAGAAAACATCATGCCCAGACCCGAGGAAGGAACGGAAGTGAAGGTACTTGATGCAGAAGGTTTAGGGGTGCTAACAGAAAGGCTGGTCAAAGATGACATATTATCCATCAATGTGTCTGTCAAGTCCTTAGCCTGAAAAATATGAGGAGATTACTTATCTCCAAGAAATCCAATTTACTTTATAATTAGTGAACATTCGACATTAAAATATAAAGGACAAGTTAAAAATACACTTAATAATCTATATAAGAAAACTATGGCCTGCAAGCCAAGTATAGCCCACATCCATTTTTGCACAGATTTTACAGATGAATATTCCCAATCAATTTGATGACAGTGAACGTTAATATTAACTCCAATTACGTATAATGTTATCTTCCCAGAATAGAACTGCACTCTTCTCATGAGTAGAGCTGTATTATGAAACAAGGATCCTTTATTATTTTGAATTTCATCAAAATTTTGTGGGAATTTGTCTTTTCTGTCTTTATATTTTGTTTCTTGGCCTGCAGAGACTTTCTTCTCAGAGGAAGAATTTTAGTGATTAAGAAATAACAACAACAAAATACATTAAAGCTTTTAAGATAAAGTTATTTTTTAAACTATTAAGAGTGTAAAGTCTACAAGCAGGGCCCTTATTCACTGCATCCAAAACAGTGCATCCAAAACACTAGCATCTAAAACAGTGCCTGGAACACAGTGAGAAATAAAAACCGGTCAGGAGATGTGGGAACATCTTCCTAAAACAGTTACAAACCTGTCACTGAAAAGCCAAAAACTACTTTTGGCTCAAAAATTCATTAACAGCATAACAATAACATTCCTGACCATTTCAGAGTGAACAGAACTGGTCAGCACTATGAAACCTAATATTTTTTAAAGCTCCACCTACTCACTCACCTCTCTATTGGTAACAAGCACTGTCAGGCAGCACTGCATGGGGCAGGTTAGAGAAGGGCTGAGGGAGAACCCTTACCAGTACTCTTTTGGGGAATTAGGTATCACTCTTTCCAATACATCTTTCACAAATCCTAGCAGAGCAGATTGCGAGTCCGCAGCCCTCATGAGCAGCACCCCTGAAACTGCACAAACGAATCTGACCTGCTTCGCTGGAGCGATGGGTGTGTGCACCTGGGGACTGAGCGGCTGCTGGCTTCTCAGCTTCTGGGCCTGCTCCTGTTCTTTCGCTAATTTTTGTTTTTCTTCCAGTGTAAGTGACGCCTTGAAACAAAACAAAGCAAAAAATCAACTGGCAGCTTCATAATTATTTGTGAAACAGAAGATTTTTTTCTTTGATGAAGTACATCTAGGTCCTGCTGGCAGTACTTACTACTTAACTGCAACACACACTCCGGAGCCAGCGACTCACACAGCTAAGTTCTACTTCTAAAGGCTCCCAGATTCAACTCTAGGGAGAAACTCACAGGATCTGGGCTAAAATATATCTATTGAAAGCTTTCATTAGAATCATCTTTTAGACAGAAATGAGAATAGGATTAATTCTATTCTACAACACTGGGAGATTGTGTTCAATTCTAATCTACTGCATTCCATAAGGCTAAGGGAGAACTAAACAAATTCTTTCACTGTCAATGTCTGCATCAAATTTGAGGCTTCTTTTTTCTTTTATCAATTTTGCTAAACTAAAAGCTCACATCTGACAATTTCGTAAGCTGCTATGTCCCGTGTTCCATTAGCTTTAAACATACAAGTATTCATATTTTGTTAAAGAAGAGAAGAATGACCTCAGCAGAAGTCTAAACCTGGCAAGTATTTTTTTTAATGTTGGATGCTAACCAAAATTTCAATAGGGAAGTATCACTTTATTATTCAAAATCAGAGGGAGGGGAAACTTTTTTCATCTGCTTATGAGATGGAACCAAATCTATTTTTAAAATTTTCTTGAAAACAGTGATTCACCATTAATAAGCTACATAAACATCAGGTACCCCTATAAGAAGAAACCAGGAAGGGCCCTCTCTTGTTTCTGTGGTACTTTTGCCAAAAATGTAAAACCTTAGTCTCATTAACAGAAAACATCAGGCAAATCCAAAATAAGGACCATGCCACAAATAACTGACCAGTACTCCTCATAAATATCAAGAGAAAATGTGATGGACCAAAAAAGCTAAGGCTTCCGCCATGGAACAAAAAGAAAGAAAGAGGGCCGGGACACAGCTCGGCGGCACAGCGCCTGTCTGGCAAGCGCGAGGCTGTGAGTTCGATCCCCTGTACCAAAAAAAGAAAAAGAAAAGAAAGTACAGTTGCTGGGCTTACTTTAAAAAAAAGAAAAGGAAAAAAGTTTGGCCAGTTGTGGCTCAAGCCTGTAATCTCAGTTACTCAGGACGCTGAGTCAGGAGGACTACAGGTTCTAGGCCAGACTGGGCAAGTTAGTGAGATCTCATGTCAAAAAATAAAAAGGGCTGCATGTACCTCAGTTCTCCCTGGGTTCCACCCCCAGTACTGCCAAACAAACAAAACAAAACAGAAAGAACAGAGCCAGGTACGGTGGCACACAACTCTATTTCATAAAGAAAATTACAGAATGTTTCTTGGTAACAGGCTAAATAGTATTTTCCAACAAATGTCTGATTTATGGGAAGTCCCACAATATAAATGAGTACTAAAAAAAAGTAGAAGAGCTCACTTTTTTATGTTTATTCTGTAACCCATCTTCTTTATTTTCTGATTCACCACCAGTCAAAAGGTCTGTTCCAATGTTGTTAAAAACTTTATCAATCTGATGAAATAGAAAAAAGGCCATCAACTGAAGCAATTTCAATAAAATGGTTTTATTGCTTAAAGATTAAAAAGATTCTTAAATAAACACTTTCTGCAAAAATTAAGTATCTTCCTACCTGATTCCCAGCATTTGTAATTTTTGTCTCCTCAGAGGCATTCATTTGATTTCCTATATCCAAAGATCTACAGGAGAGATGAATATGAAAAAGCAATAAAAATAATTTTTTATTTCATTTTTTAAGGACAATCTTCATCTTTTCCACTATTTTCTACTATTAATGTCTGCTTGCTCAAAAAAAATAACATTTGTACATAAGTCTTTTTAAATTCAACTTTTTGAGATCTACTAGGAAATACACTCAGGGTGCTATAGAACAAGGCAAATGGGACTTATTGTTAGAGATTATAACAGTTTAATATCTCACTAAGACAAGACATGATATGGGAAACTGATGACTCGGTTCAGAACCTGACACTAAGAGTATATGCTATAATCACTGTGACATGAATTTGAAATGTGTCTTGAAAAATTTAGATAGGAAGAAAAAGAGACGGTTTCTTTTGCCCCTCAAATATAAATATTAAATACCTATTTCAGGGAAAGGGTATAGCTTAGTGGTAAAGTGCATGCTTAGCATCTATGAGGCCCTGGGTTCAATCTCCAGTACAAGAAAAATAAATAAACTGTTTTTACCTATAATCTACTTCTAAACATTATTTTTCTAGGCCCCTACATTAATGCAGCCAATTCATCAAACTTCTCACGCGTATACATCACAAAATCCTGTGAGAATACAAAGGACTGCTCCACCTGTTTCTCCACTATGGGTCTAGACTTCCATGTTCGCCTTATAATGGGGTGAAAGCTAGAATTTCTGTCTGGGGACCTTGCTTATGATTGACGTAAATTTACTGTACCTCTGACTTTAATAACATTTTCTAGTGAATAATTTCCATCTTTGCCTTCTTTCTTTGAATGTTAGTATTCTGTAAATAATTTAGAAAACCCTCCCTAAAAATAAGAGGTGAATATTATGATACCACATGCCATATAAGTGTTCCTGAGGTTAGAAAAAAGGATAGCCAGAAATTAAAACATCAGGGTTCACAGATTTGAAAAATCACAGTGTACAATACCAGTGGGTAATGCCAACAGGGGATTTTTCTCAGAAACACAATTTTCTTTAAGTAAAGAAAGTGCTAAGATTATATCAGATTATGTCTTTGTGCTCAGAAGTTAGAGTTTCAACAATATCCTATTTTAACTCAGTTCAAACTGTTAATACACTTGAAATTTTTTACATACAGTCAAACTAAAATCTAGCAACTCTCCTACCCCACATTCCAGAAAATGAATCAGGAGGTAACTTGCACTTCACCTCTGGACAAGGTATAACGCATCTGCACCCTACTTACTTCTGCTGTTCTTGCATGATGTGAAGCTGCTCCAGTTTAGTCTTATGCTCGGACTCCAATCTGCTAAGCATCTCTTTTATGACGGAAATGAAAGAGCTGAACTGGTAAACGAAGAAATTGATACGGCTGTAATGTTTCAAGTTCATAGTAGATGTAATTAACTAAGATAGCACAGCAAGTTAATCTCAGTATCCTCCACTTTACCAATGAATTAGGACTCCCTCGGCACCAGCGGCACCAGCAAGCTTTAATGATCTTCAGGGTGGTGGTAAGGTTTACCTTTGTAACTGATGAGGCTTTTAAGTTCCACAAAACATGTCCCAATGAATTTTATATCCTGAGTTGCTAACCACTATACCTCAAGGGTCTTATATAAGTTGTATATTGATAATGTGTACCTACTGGGAAATAATTCATTTAATAATACAGAGAAAATTCCTATTTGGCTCACATAAACCTTGTTTTCTGAAAAGCTAGTAGAAATTAAATGTACATGATCCAACTTTCAGACAGAGTTCACAAAGTATACCTAACACTATTTCGTAATGTACCGTAAGCTTTGGTTAAACTTTGGGTAACTGCTGATAATTCTGATGTTATTTCTGGGTTTTTGTAAACAAGTTATATGACCAGGGATATAGCTCAGCATCACAGCGTCTGCCTGGCAAGCACGAGGTCATAAAATCAATTCCCAGTACCAAAAAAACAAAAAAAAACCAAAAAACCAGTTATATGAATGACACCAGGAACAATCTAGAAACCACTTTCTTCTCCCCAAATCTTCTACCTCTTATACAGACACTATTTTACTAATCTTCACAACTCTCCAGAATAGGTGTATTAATATTTTTATTTTAAACTTGGGCTCAACAAGAGATAAAGCAACTTCCTCAGAAACATTCAAAAGCTTCTACAGCAGAGTTAGAATTCAGAGCCTGATATGACACATGCCCATAATCCCAGCCCTATCTCAAAAAATCCAATCCAGACCCTATCTCAAAAAACCAAAAAAAAAAAAAAAAAGCTCCCAGAGTGAGAATGCAGTGTCCGAAGCCTGTGTTCTTCTCACTGCTCCGCCTCCCACATCCTGCAGCGGCAGCTCCTCCCTGTCCCAAGAAGAACAAAAGGCCTAACTCTTTCTCAGCTTACCAACACTTCTGCTAATTAAACTTGGAAACCTCTTACTCATACTAACAGAGAAGTGTAAGTGCACTGCTCAAAAACCTCACAAACTGAACCAACAGCACATAACCGGCAGCCAGATGGAGAACACAACGGAGCCCAGAGCTTCCGTGTCCCCGCGGGCCTCTCCGCCCCACGCCCCACAGGAAACACTGTTCTGACCTCAGGCAGCAGGGGTTCATTTAGCCGCTTTTGTACTTTAGATAAACGCAATCATTTGGTAGCGCCTCTCCTACGTTTGGCTTCATCTGCTCAACATTATGCTGGTGCGAGGCCTCTGTACTGCCTTGTGGAGAGAGTTAACAGGGCACACCTGACTGCTGTTTTTAAAGGCAGGCTGTTTAGAAGGCAGGCCTCGGCTGGTGTCCGGAGCTTCAATGTCAGGAAAGCTGCCCTTCTTAACTAACAGCAGCTCCTCGGGCCTGCGCTGTTTGTATGAAGAGTGCGCCCTGCGCTGAACACCTGCTTCCCTTCGGGCGTCTGCAAGCTGAGAATAGGCAGGGCACTCCTTGGTCTGCTCCGTAAAAAAGCGGGCGCTGAGTTTCTCCTTAGTTTCCCCCGCTGTCACATTCCACACGTGCGGTCACAGCTCATGCCCGGAGAACTGAGTCCACCCCGCGGGATTCCCTCCAAGAGGACTCTGGCTGGGAGCTTCCACCTAGTCTCCTCAGTGGGATGTCAGAGTTTCCCCCTTCTCAATTCTGGGTTGTACACAGCCACGAGTTCGCTTTGTGTGGGTCCTTCTCAATCATGCAGTTTAGGGGGTTGCTAGGAACCCTTCCTAAAAACATCAGAAGCTTTTCCATGATTGCTACATGGTATTTGCTGTTTCTTTTTTCTTTCCTTTTGGAGCACGGTCTCACTATGCAGTTCAGGCTGTATATTGAGCTCACTTTGTAGCCCAGGCTGGCCTCGAACTCTCAACGATCCTCCTGTCTCAGTCTCCCGAGTGCTGGGATTACAGGCGTGAGCCACTACACCTGGCAGTGTTTGCTGTTTCTTAATCAAATGTTAAAAAACATTTTCCTAAATTGACTATCTTTTTCACTTTGTGTATAATATACTTATTTTAAGTCATAACTGACAGAAGCAGGCAATCTGGAATTAGAAGTCCTGCCCATGAGATGAAGAGGAGGGCACACCACATCCATGCTAAGTCACCATAGAATACCAGAAGACAGGACTCAGAGTAATTCTCCAACAAAAACAGGCCCTACAAGAATTATAAAGCTGAAGAAAATAAATACAATGCTTCAAATAGCCCACTTCATCCCAAAATAAGCCCCTGATAATATTTTTAAACACCCAAAATCAGAAATATGAGAACTAAGAATACAAATGACAAAAGCTGCATTTCCTATTCACCCTCAGTAGTCACTGTCTCCAGTTTTCTAACCCCAACCCCACACCTACCACCGCAGACAGTGTCAAACCCGGGACGGCCTCCCCAAGGCTCACCTCACGCTTCAGGGAATGCCAGGCTGCCCACCTCCACTCTGCTCGCTCGGCACTCTCCCCACACCCAAAGCACGCGCGTGTACTCCAGCCTTCTGCTTCCTTCATCGTGCTACTTCACTTTTCAGTCCCCAGTTCTACGTCTTCCCTGCCTACCCACCTGACACTCTCCGCTGAACAGTAACTCTTCTCAGTAAACGTCAGTCCTACTGTGAACAGAAGGGGCTTACTGTTTGTTACTTTCAAGTTTTCTTTCAGTTTTTGTTTCCAGCACTGATCTAGGACTGAGGGTGTCCAAGGGGGAATCAGCTACAAGAACTAGCTCTTGAGGAGTTTGTTCTCTTCAAGAAAGCACAGGCACACAGCTGTGACAATCACAGCAGAGGCGTGTGGGAGATAATTCTGCGGTAGTTGTAGAGCCCTCGCTACCCCATGCTCAAACATCTGCATCTTAAAAGTTCGAGTACCTAACGCAGACAGGCTACCGATTCTAGTCTACTCACTTTATCTCATTATTCCTCTATCTGTTAAACTGAGTTTATTCTTCCCTTTGGCCGACAAGTCTTACTTATCTCCTCCTCCTGTTATTTCTATTTTTGTATAATCTCTCATCTTTGAAGGTAGAAAGAGGTGTGACCAGCTTCAAAGCAACAGAATTATGACAAAGGTAGCTGGGTATCACAGCCTTGATTACGCTGTAAGAGACCAACTTCAGTCCTGCTGGCAGCCTGCCTTGCTGGCTGTGACAAAACCAGCTGTCACTCTGGAGGACCCCATGACAGGGAACCGTTAGCGCTGGCTAACACACAGCAAGGAGCAGGAAGACCTTGTGGTGTGTTAGCTGGATTCAGCCCAGAAGACCTAAGTCCTGCCGTGAGCCCCTTGAGTGTAGCAACAGATCACTCCGCACAGGGGCCTTCTTCCCGGGGCAGCGCAAGACACTGACTGAGCAGGGGACCCAGCCGAGCCGCCCCGGCACGGCCGGCCCGCAGGAACTGCAGCGCACTCCAGCCGTGCTGCCTTAAAACACAGAGTTTGTAATGACGTGTTACATAGCAACATATAGCAAACACAGTCCACAACTGTCATGTTGGCTTCCCTGCCCTAATTTAAAGTCACCCCAAGTGCTACACATCTTTCAACATCCGGTAAAATGACCATCTCCCAAAGAGATAATCTATACTTCCACTCCACAAACTTTCCTCATTTAACTCGTATTTTTCCTTGTTTTAGCAATTTTTATGTGCAGTATACTATTTATTTAAAAATGCCAAGAAAACAAATGAATAAATTACATAAACCCCAAAATACTCCTACCTGATTAAGATTAAGGTTGTTTTCAATACTTAGGGGAATGAGATGAGGCAATACTTTTCCAGCCAGCTGCTCTTTGGTAATTCCTAACTTCTTATGAGTAAAAGTGCATTTGTAAATACCTGGTGGAAAAGAACGTGACAAGATATGACACTGCGATTTAACAGACACCCTGAGATATTCTGATCATCAGTGCAGCACAACGGAAGTACAGGAGAGAATATAGGACCTACACTTTACTCACTTCTGCAGCAAATACACTCCGCACGTTTGAAACTTAGTAATTATTCAACTCCACGAGACCCTTTCCTAGAGCTCACCTATGTGCTCCAACATTAAGACCTCCCCTGCTACACCCACTCTCTCCCACACTCTTCCCTGGGTAAGCTGCTTGGGAGAAAGCTTGGCATTCTCTGAACACTTGTATTTTAAGTGTTTTGAAATAATCCAAAGCATGGGAACACACCACCTCCTACCATTTCTGTAAATGTACACAACTTACATATTCAAACAATTACTTTATTTAACACCTACTGAATGTTTATTTGCTGGGCACTATGCTCAATACTTTTTGGTTTTAAAAACCCTAGAGTGAGCTGGGTGTGGCAGCACATGCCTGTAATCCCAGCACTCAGGAGGCTGAGGCAGGAGAATCATTATAAGTTTGAGACCAGCCTGGGCTACAAAGTGAGCTCAAGGCCAGCCTGAACTGCATAGCGAGACCCTGCCTCAAAAAGACAAAAAAAAAAAAAAAAAGCAGCAGCAGCTTTCTTCTACTCTGCCAAACTTCTGCTTAAGAACACAAACTTCTTAGAGCACAGAAGATTCAAACCACATCCGAAGAGTTCTCCATCCAAGAGAGATCCACAGTAAATACGTGTTCATCACTCCTACAGTAGTTACTAAGAGCTTTATATAAACTGTGCACTACAGCAGATGTTAAGATACAGATATGTATAACACAGTTTCTCCTTCAAAGTAAATCAAGAACCTCAGCCTGGAATGGTGGTGCATGCCAGAAACCTCAGCACTCAGGAGGCTCAGCCAGGCAGTCTGGGCTGCACAGAGTCCAAGGTTGGCACGACACTTCTCAAAAACCCAAACATACATAAAATGGAGACCCTCAAACTTAGCAAGAACACAACTGTTAATCCTTTTGTCCTTCCTACAGTTACATCTGTTTCTACTGGCATAAAAGACAGTGGCATTTTCAGACTGGACTTCTACTGCTTTAAATACCTATGAACAATTTCAGAGTTTCTTTCTTTTTTTCTTCTCTCTTTTTTCTTTTTCTTTTTCTTTTTCTTTTTCTTTTTTTTTTTTTTTTTTTTTTTTTTTTTTTTTTTTTTTTTTTTTTTTGTCATTTTGAGACAGGGTCTTGCTATGCAGCTCAGGCTGGCCTTGAGCTCACTTTGTAGCCTAGGGTGATCTCAAATTTGCAATGATCCTCCTGCCACAGCCTCCTGAGTGCTGGGATTATAGGTGTGTGCCACCACACCCAGCAATTTCAGAGTTTCTTGACAGAGTAATTTTAATTTGCTGATAGCACAGAATGTACAAAAAGCTAATATACTTTAGCATATCAGTAGTGAAATACACTGGTTAAGACTCAAATATATCTAAATTTTTAAAATAAGCTTGTTAGGGCTGATACACTGTATCAACTTGAGGAGTCTAGAAGCTTGGCTAAGTGTCAGCAGTTCTACATCTGAATCTGTGCAAAAGGAGGGCAGGAGATGGTGTGGGCGTGGGTGGATAGCCAGCATACAATAAAAAAGGGGAAAAGAGCCCCCCCTCCCGCTTTTGCCACATACCACTGTGCCTTGGAGCCAGCCGAGTATGGACTGAAACCTCCACCAACTGTGAGCTAAATAAACCTTTCCTTCCTTAATCCTGGGCATCAGGTATTTTGTCTCAGCAAGGAGAGAAAAAGTAACCAAGACAAAGCTCTTCTTCCACTTACCAGCTGTATGATCTTGAGTAACTTATACCACCTGCACGAGCCTCAGTTTCCTTGTTTTAAAACAAAATAATTCCTATCTCACTGGATTGGAAGGACAGAGAAAATGCTTTACCTCTTAGAAGTTGAGTACCAAATAAATATCAGGTATTATTACTAAGACTGGCATCAACATTTCAAGTAGTTCTGTTTGCCTCCCTTACCTGTACCTGTTATGGGGGAAACTATGCTGTCATGACATTTATGAAACTATGTTTCCTAATTATCTTTTTTTTAATAAATGTCCATGTTTTTACTGCTTTTGCCTAAATCAATAAAGAGAAAACTTACATTTATCCCATCATTCTTCAATTTCTGAATGTTATATACGTAAGAAGAATAATGGCTTTATAGACCAGAAAATATATTTGCACAATTGTGAAACAATAAAGTAGTAGCAAATGACATGAAGCTTTCAGCTACCTAAAATCCCCATGAGGACTGCAGGTTCCTTGGATGGAATCTGTTGTAAGAAGGGCAGGAGATCATCAAGCACAAACCACTTATCCAAGTATTCCAGTATCTTCCCTAAGCACACTAAGGAATTCACACGAACCTATTAAAAGAGACAATCATCCATTAGTGATGTAAACTCTTTGTAACCCAGAGCAAAATATGTACGTGTAAATTTAATCTATCTCTCTCTCTCTCTCTCTCTCTCTCTCTCTCTCTCTCTCTCTATATATATATATATATATATATATATGCTACAATTTCAAGAATAAGTTTTGAATCCATGCTTTAGTAACACAGGAGTTTCACTAACTTCCCTGACTTGCTTCAGAAAGAATTTATAACTGTTTCACCAAGACACTAATTAGTTAAATACAAGGAATGACTTCAATTCTGTAGTATTTTAAGCAAAGTGGTAGGATTGAGAAGCTTTAATTATACATGAATTTACAAAGAACATTCCTTTGGGAACTTATTAATTTTATAAAAAAGAATACATTCTCCTCCTCAACTGACCAATTTCACAGAGATTCCAATATTTCTTTAACTCAGATTCAGATAGTTCTTAAACTGAATATTTTAACATTTGACATTATCTGTATTTGCCTAACACAAAGTTTTCTACTTCTAAATATATCTTTAATAGGGAAAACAGACATTTAAAAACTCTCCTCAAAAATTGTACATTCACTTGGCTTTTGATAAATATGTGAAGCCCTATACCTACTTTTTAGGTGGAAGTTGTTAAGACTGAATACCCTTTTAAGTCAGGACCAATATACCAAGAAAACTCTAGTTTAAAAACAGGGGGGGACTCTAAGAAAGGTAGAAAATAATTTGGCTGGTTAAAACTGTACCATATTTCTATAGGAAAAATGAATTTTCCATATTTGAAAAAAAGTGAACCGTTTTCTGAAATTTAAACAGGAAATGTAAATTCAAAATGCTACCAGAAGGCTTAATTTATTCTCACAATCAGCTCTATAAAAGGAAGCCAGGCCTGATGGCACACACCCGTAATCCTAGCACTGTGGAAGGCTAAGGCAGGAGGATCCAACGTTCAAGCCCAGCCTGGGCAACTTAATGAGACCTTGTCTCAAAATAAAAAATTAAACAAGGGCTAGGATGCAGCTGAGTGTAAATGCCCTGGGTTCAACCCCCAGCATCCCCGCAACATACACACACACAAATGAACTGCTGCCTCTAGTTCGATGTATGTATGGGAAACTGAAAATTAAAATATTGATTTAATGTTATTTTCTTGTACAATATATAAAACTTAGTTCTTTTTGCAGGGTATGGTAATACACACCTGTAATCCCAGCACTCAGGTGGCTAAGGCAGGAGGACTGCCATAAGGTCAAAGCCAGCCTGAAGAGCTGGTGATACAGCTCTGCGGTGCAGCACCTGCCTGGCAAGCACAAGGTCCTGAGTTTGACTCCTGGTACCAAAAAAAAAAGCCAACCTGAACTATACAGCAAGATCCTGGCTCAAAAAGCCAATAAATGAATAAAAAGTCTGTCTGTCAGTCATGTGTGTCATGTATAAATATAGCTCTTAAGAGTATAACTCATTTCTTTCTTTAAGAATTTCCTAATTAGAATGTTTGATCCTTAGAGAGTAAGTTTTGTACATGCAATTTAGAAATACATATTTGCCACTGGGGCAAATAGCAGGACTAAAGTTCATATCTAAAATGCACTTGGAAAGTAAAACCTAAAATGCAAATTAATTTTACAGTTACATCTAAACGCACTCATTCCAATTCCTTGTAAACAAGGTATCTTTAAGTGCCGGTTAGCAACTTTAGAACAGGCACAAACCTCAACGAGCATTAATGCAGATCACTTAAGTGTTTATGCTTCCTACCTCTACACAGCCCTGCGCACATCGTCAGCACTGAACGTGTGCTTCAAGAAAATGTATGCTAGCCAGGTGCATGCCTGTAATCCCACATTCAAGAAGCTAAGGCAGGAGGACTGCCACAGGTTCCAGGCCAGACTAGACTACATTGTGAGTTCAAGGCCAGCCTGAACTACATAGCAAGACCCTGTTTCAAAAAAAAAAAAAAAAAAAAACGGACAGGAGTGGCGGTGCACACCTGTAAGCCCAGCACTGGGGAGGCTGAGGCAGGAAGATCACCACAAGTTCAAGGCCAGCCTGGGCTACACAGTGAGTCCAAGTCCAACAGAAACTGTATAGCGAGATCCTGTCTCAAAAAAAAGAAAATGTATGCTAAAATAAATCTACACTGCCATAAAGTAAGGAATACTATAACATCTCTGAAACGGCATTTTGAAAACTGAATTTTAAGCTGCAAACCATTACCATTTTCTGAAAATCATAAAATTAGAAAAATTTAAAGGACGGTGTTTCACATCCATTAAATAATGGTATGAAAGAGACTCAGAGAGGCACCAGACTTTCTCAAGGCCACAGGGGCAGTGAGTTACAAGATCAGAACAAGAACTCATGGTTCCTGACTTCACCTCACTCCATGCTTGCTCGTTTCCACCTCTTTTCCTACTTTGGTCTCAGGTCTCACCTCTGAGAGCCTTGCTACCAAAAACGTGACCAGCAATGGTTTAGGACGGCTATAAAGTAAACTCACACCACTCACAGTGCTTTAGCCTTTCATTCTATTTTCACTGAAAGTCACAATCCACCAAACGAAGATAATGGGATTTCCAAAGAAGAAACGCTTACAAAATGCAAATTTAGTAATAATATGCTCATTATCAAACATCAACATAAAGAACTGGTCAGGCAAAGGAAAGACATGCCTGTCTGTTTAAACGCTGTTATTTTGAAGGAAGTATTTAGTATTACTTCCATACAGAAATATCAATGTGATAAACTCTTAGATTTAATGTTACAGAAAAGTTAGGGATGTACACTGGCCTCAGTGTAAGATAATGCAAACTATGTTATTTACTCTACCTTTTTGATTATTTTAACTCAGGGTTAAAATTTTACATTTAGCCGGGCATGGCAGTGCATGCCTGTAATCCCAGCACTTGGAAGGCTGAGGCAGGAGGATCGTTGAGAGTTCAAGACCAGCCTGGGCTACAAAGAGAGCTCAAGGCCAGCTGAACTGCATAGCAAGTCCTTGTCTCAAAAAATGGAAAAAAAATAAAAATATTAAAATAAAATAAATAAAATTTTGCATTCAAAGGAAACAACTATTTTTAATCTTCATATTTTGTACAACTATTTCCCCCACTCACACTCATATAAACAGTAGACTGTTTTATTGCAGTCTACTTTTCTAAAAATAGTTAAGTGGGAGATGAGAAATTTAAAAACCAATAGCTAAAAATGAAGGCAATTTATAAAAGGAAGCTATTTACAAAGATTTTAGGCTTATATATCAAATTAAACTCTATTATTTTGAAACAACAAAGTAAATTGTGAGTTAAAGCAGAAAAGGATTAAGAAAAATATTTCTACTGAAGCAGTAAAAGTCAGGGACCAGGGAGTAAAATAAAGGATGCAGAATTGTAAAGTATCAGAAAAACTTACAGATGGCTTTTATAGTACATTAACTATACACAAGTTATAGCCAAGACGACTATATGAGCAAAATATAATAGGGTTATTAAACAATGAGGGATAGCTTAAACTACTGAGAAGTGGAAGAAAAACAAAAATTAGTAATATGCAAGTACTTACAGCAAGGGAAGATGTTTGCAGACAGGCATTTTTAATTCTTGGTATCAAAGCATTTTTCATGGATGGGTAGTCTATAAGATTTGCAAAGGTTGGAATGATATTCAGACAGAGCTCCTATTAAAAAAACAAAATGGATCAATCTTTGACAAAGATCCTCTCATCCTTTCACACATTCAAAAGCATTTTGTATTTGTACGCTAATTTGTAAAATAGTTTAAAACAGACTTCCACATATGTTATATTATTTGGTCTTTTCACAATTCTTTCAAAAACAAAGAGCTAGAATCATTTTTCAGTTTCACAAATGAATGAAAGGGTTCAGAAAATCTTATTCACACTAGATCACAAAGTCAGATACAGTGGTTCACGCCTGTAGTCCCAGCACTTCCAAGAGGCTGAGTAGGCGGTTCCCTTGAGCCCAGGAGGTTGAGCCTGGATAACACAGCAAGACACGGTCTCCAAAAAAACACAACAGACTCAAAAAAATAAGAAGTTATCCTAGATCATAATAACTAGCACATGCTATTCAAAACGACAGAAGAAGAGACTACGGAGGGAAAGGAAGCACAAATGTCTATCAGGAAAGAAGCTACTAATGATACCAGGCAAACTTGAAGTCATGTATTTATAGTATGCAATAGAAAAGAATTACGTAAGAATCAATTATCAAAATACTGGCACGTTTTTTATTCAAAATATCCTGAAATTTCTAAAAGGTGACGTATCTACTCAGAACTATAAAAATTATGTGAGTGATATAATTCATGGGTAAGAAATACAAGTTAAGCCAGCAGCGGTGGCACACGCCTGTAATCCCAGCACTTGAGGGGCTATAGAGTGAGTTGAAGGCCAGCTTGAATTACATAGCAAGATCCTGTCTCTAAAGACTAAAAACACAAAACATAAAAGACAAGTTACAAGTAGCTGAGGGTAGTGGTGCACACCTATAACCCCAGACCTGAGTTCAAACCCGGTAACAGAATAAAAGAAAAAGAAATACAAGCTACAGGCAAGGATATGGTAAAATTAGTACTCTCATGCGCTGATAGTAGTACTGTAATTTGTTACAGGCATTACGGCAAACAATACAGAGCATCTTGAAAGAACTAGAACTAGAACTGAAATATAACTCAGTGATCTCACTCTTGGATACATCGCCGAAGCAACTGAAATCCGTGTGCTGAAGAGCTACCTTCAAGCACGAGCTCACTGCAGCACTACGCACAACAGCCAAGAAACAGAAACACAGCTGTACGTCAATACACGAATGAAGAGGAAGACAGAGAGACACACACAGAGAGAGAGAGAGAGAGAGAGAGAGAGAGAGAGAGAGAGACAGCTCAGCCATGAAGAAAGAACTAGGTCTTGTTATTTGCAGCAACACAGGCAGAACTGCAGGATGTTATGTCAAGTGAAATAAATGAAGCATTCAAAGACCAATACAGCAGGCTCCTACTTATATGTGAAAGCTGGAAAGTTGATCTCACAGAAGTTAAAAATAGTGGCTACTGGAACCTAGGATTGAAGTAGAGGGAGGAATGGTGAGTGAGTACAGAGACGCAGCTGGGTAGGAAGAATATTACTGTAAAGAAGGATAAGCTTGAGACACTGCTAGGTAAATGGATGCATCTTGAGAACATACGCTTAAGTGAAATAAATCGGACACACATGTAAACATCCCATGGTTTCTCTGGTGTGAGAAATTGAAAGTGTAAATAAGAACCCATTAACAGATATTCGGAAATGGAAAGAAAATGTTCAAATGAGAAGAGGAAAAGGGGGAGAAGAAAAGCAGGGACAAGGAAAAAACTGAGCAAAGCTTTTGTAAATAAAGAGAAGAGGGACTGAAGGGAGGGAATGGGAATGGGAAAAAAGAAGCAAGATATACCACGTACAGGCATAAATTCCCTATGGTGAGTGTTATCACTATGTATAAAATGTTCCAATAAAATAAAAGGAAAAAAGAAGAACTCCTAATGTTGTATGGCACAGCAGGGTAACTATGGTTGACATCAACTTAATACTTCAGCCAGGCATGGTGGCACACGTCTGTAATCCCAGCACTTGGGAGGCTGAGGGAGGAGGATCATTGTGAGTTCGAGACCAGCCCAGGCTACAAAAGGAGCTCAAGGCCAGCCTGAACTGCATATCAAGATCCTGTCTCAAAAAGACAAAAAAAAAAAAAAAAAGAACCAAAACTTAATACTTCAAAATAGCTTGTATGAAGATTCTGAATGTTCTTACTATAAAGAACTCACAAATGTCTGAAGTGGCAATTTGCCAATCGCACTGATCTGATCATTATACACTGTGTAAATGTACTGAAATATGGCACTATACCTCGTAAGTCTTCGTCAAACAGAAATAAGAAACACGTAACAGATTTAAAAACCACAAGCTATTTTTAAGGGACGACTTTCCACAAATGAGGGAACAGGCGAGAGTTAGCAGTCAGGGAGACACCGGGTTCCTTTACCAAAGAAGCCTCCTTAAGGAGGACCAGTCTTCAAGACCAGACAGAGAACAGGGAGGTGGTGTGCCGCGCAGTCACCCCCAGGGCAGGAGGCTACAAAGTCTGCAGCTCTTCGCTAAGGGCACAGCTCTCTCCCTAAGAGGAAACGGGATGAGGAATTTAAGAACAGGAGATTGAAAAGATAAAACCTCAAGGAAGTGTACTCAGCAAATTCTAGGCTGAATGATACTTCTATAATTACTGGTGCTGGTAATGAACACAGTTTCTACGTTTAATTTAACAGGCAGGTAATTTCAAAATACGACGTCAAATGTACATGTTTATAGTGCTTCTATTTATGAATACTACCTTTTACACACCATCTTCCACTTTCCTAAGCATCTTTCAGAACCATCTCTAGCATCTTAAATATTTCTAATCAAGCTTTACTTTTAAAATTTCAATTTAGAGCCCAGTGTGGTGGCTCATGACTACAATCTGAACACTCTGGAGGCTGAGGCAGAGAGACCACAAATTTGAGCCCAGCATGGGCAACCTGACCATTTAACAAGACCCTGTCTCAAAGTAAAGAGGTTGGGGATATCGCTGGGTTCTATTCCTACTCTTGCAATCATTAATTAATTTAAATTTTCAACTTAGAAATGAATTTAAGAAGTTTTATCCTTCTAGTTGCATGAAACTTAAGGAAAAGATTCTTGTTTCCTTTTCCCAGGACTCTTAAAAATGTTTGGATATGCTTTGACTCTATCAGAGTCCTCTCACCAGGCACTAATGAAAGTGGTTAATTAGATTGGTGACCAAAATTTATACTGAATGAAATTAGAATTGCTAGTTTCTAAAACTTAGCAAAGTTGAAGTAGTCAATTTGAACTCTGTATTAACTTCCTGAATAAAATACTGGCTTGACACTCTTTGCCCAAACTCTGGGGGAGGAAAAGGGCCTTTCACCTCACTCGACCTCCTTTTTCCTCCTTAATCTTATTGAATATAAAACCATGTTGGCTATACAGGAACTGTGGCACGTTTCAAGAGACTATAATTACAGCTCACAGATAGAGATGCAAAGTAGAGGTTAAGTACTGTACATCTTCCCATTCACCCCACAGCCTAATTAGAAGGTGAAAAAATTAACGTCAACATCACACTCTTAAATATACTTAGTAAACAAAAACAGAAATAAGCCAATGAAGTACCTGAACTAGGTGACATTAGGCTCAAATTAAGAGAAAGATTTAAGAAATCCCTTTGTTTTTCTTTATTACAGTTTGTTTCCTGGCAAAAAGACTAGCTTTCTAAATAGGAAATCATTTGTGTGGGGAGATGTTCTTAACCTAAGTATGTTCTGGGCCAGGGATACAGCTTGGCAGCACAAGCACCTGCCTGGCAAGCACAAGGTCCAGAGTTCAATTCCTGGTACAAAAAAAACGAAGTAAGTATTTCCAAAGTGGAAAAAAAAAAACAAGTTTTAATAGCAACCCAGAATGTTTTTCCAGACCGAAAGCCCAATGACCCAGAATTTAAACAGCAGAGACTATAGAACTAACAGTTTGGCAAAGTGTATGTTATTTTAAGACGCCTTTACTGGAACAAAAGCAGGACTATAAGAATGGGCACAGTGGTCTGGGGATGTAGCCCCGTGGTAGAGCACTTGCCTAGTATGCGCAAGGAGATGGGTTCAATACCCAGTTGGGGAGGGAGGGGGTCACATTAAATTATTCTCTTACCTATCTCCTTGCCTTACCAATAAACTTCACCACAGAAGGAACAGCATTTCTAAATAGGAAAATGAATTACCAAGCATAAACTTTTTATAAGAAAAAGGTACATTCAGCTTCTAAATTTTTCAATCATAATTATCCATTTAGAAAGCAGGAAGAAGAATACAACAATTCAAACTACAGTGAATCAAACTTTCCTCCACACTAGCACCTTTCTAATAAATAAAAACAACAAGTCTACTTTATGACACATGCATTTATCAACTGACTCTTTAGTTAAGCACGGACATTTTAATAACTATATCATTAATCCAAATCAGTAAATGTACTTACTATTGAGTTTCATACAAAACATTATGACTTAAACCTACGAAGTTTTTACTTCTTTCTTCTGCTTTAAAAATCAAAATCATCATCAAAGAAAAACAAATCAATCACTGCACCTGGATCTGAATGGAAGGCGCTTCTAGTGCTCTGTAAACCATGGGCAGGACACTGTTCTTTATCTCATCAGGAGGGGTTTTGGTTAGCAGTAAATCCATTTTTTGTAGGAAAATTAACAAAATCTGTTTTGAAAGAGGAAAAACATGCGTTAAGGCCTAGAATCTTTAAGAGATTTGATATATGCCAAAATTTAAAGTTTTTTCCAAAGGAGTAAGTTACATATGTTGACACTCACCATGTTGCTCGCCTGAAGGCATGGAAGACAAAAACATACACATCAAGTCTCTCACATTTCTGGAAGCATATTTAATAACTGCTCTCAGTTTAATCACTTAAAGACTCATTTCCTCACTCTCACATACCTACAGTAATTACCACTCATCCACAAGAACCAACTACATGGAAAGCTACTGTGTAAAAAAATAAAAGTTGGAGCGCAGCCAAGTCAGGTGTTCTAAAGAAGTACATTCCATCACTCAGCTTCTATAAAGTTCGAGAGGAGAAGAAAGAAACGAGAAGCTCTGGAAGGAGAAACTGTACAAAGAAGCATTTCTAACTGTCCCTGATTGTTTTTAACCTGGCTGCCTCTACACACCCAACTCACAAGGAACAAACTGCCCCTTCTCTTCATGCAGAATAGTTCTGCCATGGCTCAATTACACTTTTTCAAGAGAAATTATTAACTGAACAACTAAGGGAGAAACATACACCAAAGGGGACAAATAAGAATTCAGACTATAGGTTTCTTAGGGTGCTACCTCGATTGATGCATAGCGTAGGGAACCTGTCACTCTGTCAACTTCCCCCTTGATGCTGACCCTTGGAAGGGTTCAGGAGATTCCTGTTTCAAAGCCCACAGCTCCACCCTGTCCTTCCCCTGGCCCCTAGCAACTCTGACCACAGACTGCCTCCAGGCTCCCTCTCCAAAGGGAGGACTACAGTGCTTATACCCCAGACAATTCATAGGTGAATGACAAGCTATCGCCCTACTACGGCAAAGCACAAAGCAGCTATTCCGTGCCAGAAATGGTGTGGAGTTCTTTTGCTGGGACTTGAGCTCAGGACCTCACACTCGCCAGGCAGGCGCTGCACCACTGAACCAAATCCCTGGTCCCTATGCCAGAAATTTTCATGCCATCTCAACAACTCTTTGCATTTTAAAAATAAGGAAATGGTAGCTTAACATAGTAATGACTAATCCGAGTCTACACAGATAAAGAAGCCCAGATTCAAATCCCGGCATGTTACTCCCCTGCTCTTAAACTGAAGACAGCCTTCAATCTGGCAAATACATACTATAATACAGTCCATATGAGAGAATAATGATTTTTCGCTTAGAGCACATACATGCGTTTTCCTCAAGGTGTCCTAAGCATTTTCCTCTTCTAATGAAAGTATTTATGAGAGAGAAAGAGAGACAGAGAGACAGAGAGACAGAGAGAGAGAGAGAACAAACCATCACAAATCAACTACAATTTAAAGATTGGAATAACAAATCCAACAAAAATACTTAAAAGTGCTAGAGAAAAATTGGTATTTCTTTTCCCAAACATGCAACTTTCAATAGTCAAGTGAGAGCAGTACAGCACATGCAAAATTTTACTGCAATTTGTAACTTATAGAAAGCCGAAGACATTACCTGCAAAGTTTAATTTTAATTGTAGGAATGGTTCGAATGTATGCGAAATAGTTTTCCAGTTAATAAAAGGTCTCCTACACTTACCTGAATTTTTAAAAAGCTGTCTTCACTTACTCTGGTTTCAGCGGTAGTCATTACCATGAATAACAGTAGACAAACATGCGAAATACCTACACATACCTGGACTGGCTCCTGCTGCTTAAACACAGGGCCAAGCTCAGGCAGAATTAATTTGACATATTCTTCTTTGGTGCATTCCTCAGCAATCAGTAACACATTGGGCAAAACAAAAGGTACCATGTCAGGGTTTACAAATTCTGAAGTCAAACAAGGCAAAATTCTCTGCACGATGACCCGCTGAAAGGCAAAAATGTTTTCATAAAACCAAATTTACTTTAGGTCTTTAGAATTAACACTGAAGTATAAAGTGTCCAATCCCTTTAGGTTAGCTGACCACATAATTTATGTTAACATCAGTACACTTTTTAAGAGAAAAGTGGGATGCTATTGCTAACTATGCCAAGACAAACAGCTAAGCTGGGAATGTCATCGATAAAGGGAGATATATGGCCCAGTTTTAGGAAACCTTCCTGAGTCTTCACTGATGTATCTCTCCTAATTCATTATTTACAATTCATACCACAATTTAAACACTGTCCTACACTGTTCATTGTTTCACGAAAACAATAATATGCAATATATTAATTATTGTAACTCTCCTACTAACCTGTTTTGAAACTGTTTTATTGTTACTTTTATTTTTTTTTCCTCTTTAAAAAAAAAAAGTAGACAACTGATGGCTATCTGATAACCCCTGGGAATCTTCTACAACCAGAAAGTACTAGTTTTAGCATTCATCAACAGTTTTCAGACTGTTTCACACACACGATTTGGCTCCGTCAGAGGAGAGCTAAAGGGCATGGGAAAGCTAACATCAATACAGAAGCACCCCTAACTAGTGCTGAGACAGTCATCTCCGCGATAGTCCACAGACCGCTCTTCTGACATCGAACGTCCAACTGCTGCCTTGACACAGGCTGGCCCTTCGCATTTTTTTAAACCCTATTCATTTTGGGACCACAACAAACCTCTTGGATTTAGTCTACAGCCTTTTATAGTCATTTCTGTACATGAGGAAAAATTACTTTATTGGTCAGGTATTATAGTAATGGGTGAGTTATTACAGTAAGTCAAAGTAAACTTTAAATTTAAAAATATTATCGGAAGAAATTTATCAACAACAAACCTTGGGCAGTTTTGGTAAAACTTTTGGCAATCCTTTGAAAAACTGTGATTTCTGAAGATTATCTCTTTGGAATAAGCTATCAAAATATTGAAGTGTGACTGCACCAACATCATCAAAGAAAGGAATCTAAAAGGAAATAAATTATTTTTATTAACATTAAGTTGAAAGTACTTCTCATATCTGAAACTACCATAATAGTTAAAAAATATTCAGAAACATTTAGCAAAATGGAAGACTGCTTTAATAAAAGCAGAATTATAAGAATTGTAATTATAAAATTTATAATTACTAAAAATAATAAGAAAATTATTTTTCTTTCCAAAGTCAAATATTCAGAATTACTGCCTATGAGCTGGATGGGCAACAACTTTTTTTTAACTCTGAAAGACTGAAAGATTAAGTAAAATATCTTGAAAGCACAAAGAGTACTAGTTATTTATTAAATCCATGTTTATGCAAATGAAATAAAGGGTTATGACTTTTCTGAGAGTCTAGAATGTCTGCATAACTAATTATGACTCTTAGCACTGTTTACTTGAAATTCTTCTATCACCGCACTTATGTACATAAATTATTTAGCTGTTGAAGAGTAAAAGAAGTTGTGTATTTAATATGCTCAAAAACAGACGCTAACAATTAAATATGACTAAAATCTTGGTTCAGAAGAACTTAATCTACTTTAAACCTTTCTCTTATTTTCTTTGTCCCACCAGCTACTGCAGAAGTCCATGTGAACTCACCTTTGTCATTTGATCTGCATCTGGTCTTACAGTTGGAGTTACATTTAACAGCAGTTTCACATGTTCACGGACTTCCTCAGGTATACTTGTAAGTGAACTAGATCCTAAACGACTCAACTATTCAAAAGAATGGTAACATTAAACATAAATATAAACTATTCTAAAAGATGTATGTTTATATTAATAGTCTATAATAGTGTAGACTGCACAAAATGCTAAATTTTCTGTTTCAAGATATCTTTATCTTTAATACATACTTGAAATTGTTTCCAATCCTAAACAAAATGTCCAGCATTTTAGACCATCTTTCAATATTCATAGTAGTAAATGCTACGATTAAACTTATAGTAACAAACTTAAACTAGTGATTCATTACATATAGAAATTATTTTTATTAAAGTAATACAAACTGTAAATTCATGCAAAATGGAAATGAGGCACTAATCTAAGAATTTTCTGACCGCATTTTAGAAAACAAAGAAATTGTAATACATTTTAACACAAGCAAATATAAACAGGCAAATACCTGATCCAACTGCCTGCTGAAACTCTTATATATATCCTGCTTGTTGACTTCAAATACAGGCTTCCCTTTATTAAATACAGCATACACAACAGTTCCTAAAGAATACATATCACTGGCTGTTTCACAGCTGACAGAAAGTATGTATTCAGGAGCCAAATACTCAGGATTTGGAAGACACAATGATGGTAAATTGGGGTCCCATTCTTTACAAGGAAACTTAGGCTGTCATAAGACAAAAAACAGATGACATAGATTCAATATCTCAATCAAAGCAAACCATTATCAAGCCATAGTAATCTATCTTTAAATTCGTACTAAGTCACACAAGTAAAAATGCCACTACCACCTTCAATTTTAAATCTCCACAAATCTGGAACATATATGCAATAAACTGAGAGGTTAAGAACTCTTACAAGTCTGAGGTTACTAAAGTCTCTTCCAGAAAGTAAATTATCAGTGTGCAGTACATTCAGGTAAAGGTCTGGCTCATGTTCTGTGATATACAGGCTTCAAGTTTTACGGACTGAGTAGAGGCAACATTTAGTCAGCCGGGCATGGTGGCGCACACCTGTAATCCCAGCACTTGGGAGGCTGAGGCAGGAGGATCGTTGTGATTTTGAGACCAGCCTGGGCTACAAAGTGAGCTCAAGGCCAGCCTGAACTACACAGTGAGACCCTGTCTCAAAAAGACAAAAACAAAACAAAACAAAAAACCAACATTTAGTGAACATCTGAAAAATAACAAGTGCCATCTCTCAAAGGTCTTCTTCTACCCTACAGAAGATTATTAAATTCAGTAAATTTGGGATACGTTGTTAGGTATTTACAGTGCAGTTAGCGTATCTGCAATCCTGAAGGAAAGAAAGCCTATTTAACACAATAGTTACCAAATTTAATTAACTCTGGCATCTTTTTCTCAAGTAACAGTAAAAACTCCTATGGAACTGAGGGTCTGAAGAGTACATTTAGGTTCAAGGAACACCAGAAATATTCTATAAAGCTGTAAATTTAAACATCGTACTGTATCCCACAGTCTGTTTGTACACACCAATAGGGTTACACTAAATGCTCTAGTGCATTCCAATCACAAATTGCCCTGGTTTTAAAAACTGAAAGAGGGCAGTGTTACCTCCTGCTCGGAAGGGTTGGTCGATGACACACAAAAATCAAAGCCCATTATTTTCCAGGCTCCGCTTTTATTCAAGATTATATTTTCTGGAGTAATATTTCCATGAACCATTTTCACACTGCTGTGCAAAAATGACAATCCTTCCGAAACCTGTAAGTGTAAAGTTATTTAAATAAAACTCTTTCAATTGCAACAATAAAATGTCTCATAAAAATCAGAATTACTACTGGTTCTCCCAGTAAGAGTTTTGTACATCAACTAGCAGTAAAACTTTGTCGCAAATGCGGAAGTGTAAATATTCTCAGTTGCCAGGACAATCTAAGCAACAGTGGGGAAAACTTCACTGTCAAACCAAAGTGTAAAAAGTACCACACAGTCTAGAACATATCTGGGCTCCTGCCCCACTTCATGACTTACTAGCCTTGCAACTCTGAGCAGCTGACTGCCTTGTACAGGTCACAGTTGACACACTACTTCGAACTGTGGTATACCAACTTCTTGTTTTTGAGACTGGTCTCACTATATAACCCAGGCTGTCCTTGTACTTGCTATATAGTCCAGGCTACCCTTGAAGTTGTGATCCTCCTGCCTCAACCTCCCAAGTACTAGGATTATAGGTGCCTGCCATCATACGCTGTGGGAAAAAAAAACCTAAGTTTACTATGTGTTTCAGTCTCTTGATTTGGTAGATGTTTTTATGTGATTATCTTAGTTAATCTTTGGAAACATTTTATAGTTGGAAAAAAATTCAGATGCTTACTACAAAGCTACAGTAATCAAAACAGGCTGGTACTAGCATAAAGACAGACATGCAGACCAATGGGATAGAATTAGGATCCCACAATCACATTCTTTATATATGATAAAATGATTTTTCACAAGAGTACTAAAACCATTCAGTGCTGTAATCCCAGCACTCAGAGGCTAAAGCAGGAGTATTGCTGTTAGTGCGAGGCCAGCCTAGACTACATAGTGAGTTCAAGGCCAGCCTGGACTACATAGTAAGACCTTGTCTCAAAAAATTAATTAATTAATTAATTATTTTTTAAAAACCATTCAATGGAAGAGGACAGATTTTTCAACAAATGGTTCTGGAAAAACTGATAGCCACTTATAAAAAAATGAAGCTGGACCTTTCTACCATTTATAAACATTAACTCAGGGGGGCAGAGTGCATGTTCTGCATGTGCAAAGCCCTTGGTTCAATCCCAAGCACAAAAGAAGGGAGGAAAAATACAAACTGGCTCAAAAACCTAACCTAAGACCTGAAAACCATAAAATGTTAGAAGAAAAATAGAGGAAAAGCTTCATTACACTGGGCCTGGCAATGACTTCTTAGATCTGACACCAAAATCACAAGTAATAAATGAAAAAGTATATGAAACAGACTATCAAAATAAAAAAAATCCTTTGCCTTGAAGAACACAATCAATAGAGTGAAAAAGCAACCCACAGAACGGGAGAAAAGCACGTATTTGATACAGACTTGATATTTCGAATATACAAAGAATCTTATGACTCAAAAATGCACAAAACAAAACAAACTTATGCAAAAGTGAACAAAGGACTATGGTCAGATGCATCTCCACAGCACCCACAGCACATAAAAAGATATTTAAAGTCACTAATCATTAAGGAAATGCAAATCAAAACCACACTGAGCTATAACTTCAGACCCATCATTACTATATACGTCTACTGAATGTCAATATCCAGCATTTTCCATTTTCTTACACACTGAAGGAAGACAGAGAGAGACAGAGAGAGAGAGAGAAAGGAAGGAAGGAAGGAAGAAAGAAAGGGAGGAAGGAAGGAAGGAAAGAAGGAAGGAAGGAAGGAAGGAAGCAAGCAAGCAAGCAAGCAAGCAAGCAAGCAAGCAAGCTAGGCATAGTGGTGCATGCCTGTAATCCCAGCACTCAGGAGGCTGAGATAAGAGGATCACTTCAAGTTTGAGGCCATCCTGGGCCACAAAGTGAGCTCAAGGCCAGCCTGAACTGCACAGTGAAACCCTGTCTCAAAAACACACACACAAAAATAAAAAAGCAGTAATTTTTAAAGAATTAAGTCAGCATTCCATTTTTTTCATTATAGAAAATGCAAATTGATCTACAGCAATAGAAAGCAGGTCATCAATTTTCTGGGACAAGAAAATTAAGAAACAGAAAGGAACAGCAGGAAAGAATTACAAGGAATATAAAAAAGGGTTGAGGGTGATAGATATATGTATTACCTTGACTTTGGTAATATTCTCAGAGGTATGTCAAACTTAGAAGACTATATATTTTGTCTATATGCAGTTTACTATATGTCAAATATGTATTAATAATGCTGTTAAAAAATAAAATGATGTCTATATCCAAGGAAATCAGAATCTACTGTATAAATCTGTCTGTGGAGTAGGAGATATTATTCTGGTAAGCAGAGAAAGTAAATCTGAAAAAGTAGGTTTATATAAAGGCTAACAATATCTCTTGATATGTACTAAATTCCTTGGAGGTGTCATATGTATTTCACTCTTTTTTTTTTTTTTTTGTATTTCACTCTTACTAAGTACTTCTTTTTCGTTTGTTTCTTTTTTTGAGACAGCGTCTCACTCTACAATTCAGGCTGACCTCAAGCTCAAGTCAATTCTCCTGTCTCAGCCTCAGGAGTGCTGGGATACCAGGGGTATGGCATCACACCTGGCCCTAAATGTTTCTTTATTTCAACTTTATTTCAACAAAACTTAATGTTTTGTTTATAAAAGGAATTTACATAGTTTAAAATTAAAAAAGAACCCTGCCCATCCACCAGCCAATAAGTGCTCTTCTTCAAAGGTTACTAATGTTATCAATTCAATATATTTAAAAATACAAACCAAGTTTGCATTTTAAATACAAATTTAAATTTAACAAAAAACTGCAAAAACAATTCTAGAACATAGAAATAATTTTCAAATTACTGGCAAAAACTGAAGGTTTATACAAACTAGTTCATATCGAAAAGTTTGAAATAGCCAGAAAAAATTTTTTTAATTTTTTTTTTACATGTTGAATAAAAATACCCACCTGAAGCAAACCATATTTAGTTTCCACATCATAAAGCCTATAATCCTTAATGTCTGGAGAGATAGAGGAAGGTAGATTTTCCCAGTTACCAAGAACGTTGGCTAAACTCGCAAAAACCGGTTCTGTACAAAATGCCAAGCAATCCCTGTTTTAAAAAAAGAGTCATTACCATCATTTTTATAAACAATTGAAATCAAATGTACATAAAATACCCAGAAGTCCTATTATACTATCAATAAGGTCGACTTAAATTTGTAAATTTCAGCATAATACACTTCAAACAACAAAGTCAAGAGTATAAGAATCATAATAGATAAATTGTACAATCTTTTTAAACCAAATGCTGTCACAATTTTTATAAATGTTTTAAAACTTACGGAATTAAAATATAAAATACTTCAATTGTGCTTTCTCAAATGATTGATATTCTCTATGTGAGGCCAATAAACGGATATAGAATATTATTAATTCTACCTTTGATGCCCTTCCTTCGAAGGCTTTAATTTCCAGAATATGCTCAAAGGAACTTACAGATTTCCTACAGATGACTCACGAGGAACAGGACTCAGATGCCTCATTAGTAGTGAGAAACAAAGAAAATACCTCTATATTCCTCAGCTCTTGCTTCAATCAGAGCATCCTTGCTTATATCTATTCCATGTATCATTTTGAAAGGTGTAACAGTTTCAATTTTTTAAATTACTGTGTTTCCATGTATAAGAAAATTAACAAGTTCAAAATGTTTGATGCTGATGTTCAATAGACATACACATTAATGGTCAATAGCTCAGGCTTTGAAGACAGACAGATGTCTGACTCCTAGTCCCAGTATTTCTGTTCTCTGGCTTGGTGACACTGGACAGCATATCTCTAAGCCCCACTTTGCCTGTTTGTGAAATGGTGATAACAGATGCACCTGGAAGGGTTACTGTGCATATCAAAGGAAATAATCATGTGACGTACACAGCGAAGTATCTAGTGTGCGTGCTCAGTAAATGCTGTCCACTGCTCCACTCCCAAGCATTTATGCCTCAAGCTCTAACGTTGTCGGTCTGGTGCTTTGGGCTCTGGCACTAGGCAAAACCAAGTTTCTTGCCAGGATAATAACCATCTAACGGCAAGTATTCACTTTGTTGTTCCATGAGTCTGGAATGCTTTAATACCTTTTCTTCCGCCTTGGGCCCATTTTCCAAATGAAAGCGTACACAGAAGCTTAAGGTGTATGAGAAAGAGACATTGCTGCTGAGGGTGAAGGCGGGAAAGGGTCGTATTGCGCTGGGAAGGCCACTATGTTGTTCGCTATGCCCAGCATCCAGCTCATTCACACCGTGGATACCAGGCATTCTTTCCTTAAACTGTACTGGAGGGAAAGCTGCTCAAATAACCCTTCCGCAGGACTCCTGTATTTCAGCATGTTACTTTTGTTCCACTCTATCTCGACCCCAAAATCATCTTTGGTCACATCGAAAGCCCTGATTGTGCTTCAAGCTCTAAGGCCTTACACTCTTTCATGAATACTCATTTCCATTATCATTCCAGTCATATGGCAGAAGGCTGTAAGGACCACTGAGGTGGATCACAGCTTTCTTTCTTTCCCCCAAACTACCTCAACAATAACCATTTACTACCCTTAGGCAAACATCCCCCACAGGTTTCTTTTACTAAGTACAAACTATACTATAACCTCTGTCTTTTTCAACGTTTAAGAGCGTGTACTCATAGTCCTCCTATTTAACTCCTTATTTCCCAGCCTCCTTTACCCAGTGGTTACCTAGCAGCCACTTGCCACTTCAAAAACACATACAGTTCATTTAACATGAATAAATGACCTCACTCGTGCTGGAATTCATCTCAGCATATGACTAATTCTTCAAGCTTCCTCCTTTCAGCTCCTCCCATAAGACTTCACTCACACGTCTTTCCTGTTCTAGCTTCTAATTCTCACATGTTCTAGCTTCTAACTGTCATCCTACTAAAATTATCAAATGTCACTAACGACGTCTCACTAGTCATATGTGATGGATTCTTCTTGGTCCTTATTTCCTTTTTACTCTGTGGCCCCAAATATTAGTGGGTACTTTCCCACCTCCTTAGGTTTTCATGACATGCTGCCAGGTTTTCAACTGCCATGTGACAGTGATCTCTCCTTTTGCTTTGCCTGGCTTTTTCTCCCCACTGTATTTCAATGTTCTTCCCTCAGTGTGCTGTTCTTTTCACTCCTGTCTTAAAAAATTCACTTTTCTTCTTGGTTTCATTTACAGCCTCTATGTTATACCCATACACACTGTCAACTCTGAACTCTCATTTGGATTACTCTTTCAGATTTCCCTAGAAACCAAGTTATTTTCCCTTTAGGAAAGGGAAATTAGTGTTACTATAATGTTTACACCCTAATAATCAAAAATTCATAGTCTCTGACTTGTCTCCATTCCTGATCATCAATAAATTCCTAGTTCTATGATGTTTAAATCACTATAAAAGAAGCTGCAGGAACAGAGGAAAGTGTAAAACTTTGATTCTTCTCCCGTTAGGAAAGTTAAAATGTAATTACGAGGTATGAGACATGTAGATCTAAGTTAAAATAGCAGGGGTATTTGTACAATTAGAGACAGGGGACCATACTTCTGAGCGAGCACAGCATGGTACAGTTAAGGGGGGAAAAAGACAGGCTTAGCAATCAGGGTAATGAATGATTTCCAGCTTTGCCACTTAATACCATACAGTTTATCTCTATTCTATGTAATTGTGAGACTTATAAAAGCTAAACAATATAAAGCATTTTGCATAGTTTCTCATATAGTAAATGTTCCTATTTTTTCTTTCAGATGGATAAAAAAGAGGGAGGGGGTTACCAAAGATTCCAACATAAGAATTTTTCAAAAACCCAAAATATGAAATAGATAAAGCAAAGCTACCCCAGCTGAAGGGAGGGGTGAGGGTGGGATGCTGCCCGCTATGTCCTCCTGTTCCCCGCTCCTCCTCCTCCTTAAAACCCTAAGAGCCACAGAACACACATGGCAACCACTTCATTAAGATCTTCCAAACTGAGAGGGGAATACAACCTGAAGAAGAAATCAATTGGGTATCAGAAATAATGCAGAAAAGGGTTACAAAGCTATGAAAGCACCACACGCCTGACGGTCCAGTCAAAATTTTATAAATTTCACTTTCCAGTCAATCTCAGCAACATTTCCCAAGCTTGTCTTTAAGAAAAATACATGGTAAACTAACTGAGGGCTATGGACTGACATGCTGCGTAGAACAGAAGGTAAAATTGTCTAAAACAGCACTTGCCATACACATAAAATCGGCCCTCAAATAGTGAATCAATAATAAAGAGGCGAGAAATTCTAGCAAGCTAGCAAAGACAGCTACTTTCAGGCAGCGACTGCATTGCACCCTTCTCTTCCATCTTCCATTCTGACTACTCTAATGCTGACACTGAGCAGGCAGGAACTTAAATGCATAAGCATGGCAAGTGAGAAGGAAGTCTTCATAACATTTCCGAAGCAACACATACAAGGACAATGCGAATAAATTTTAGGGAAATTACCCACTAGAATCACCTCTTAGTTTATAAGAACTGTTCACTGATTATGAAATAGACTTCAAATGTAGAGTTACTTTTCTTTCGGAAGTCATAATAGGTTTCTATAAAAATTTACCTTGATTCTTCTAACGGATGTTGTACAGTAAGAAGTCGAGGGTGTCGTAGCCGAGTTAACTGCTGGACTCCTCGTTTTAGAGAATCGATGATTTGATCCTTTTCAAATTTTTGATATTTGTCAACCAGCTTTTTATCAAAGACAAAAACAGCCACTTCCTGACAAAAGAATTGTCACTTATTTTAATCAAGAAATGTGTAAAAGTCAGAAAATTTTTATTTGCATGTCATAACGGTCTACAGAGAATTGAAAGCTGTCACAGAAATTTTATCACCATTGTAATACTCTTCTAATCAAAAAGTTGATTTCCTTATGACTAGTAAATCTAAATACTTTTAAGGACACATGACTCTGGGCCAAGGATATAGCTCAGTGGCACAGCATCTGCCTAGCAAGCACAAGGTCCTGAGTTTGATTCCCAGTACCAAAAAAAAACAAAAAACAAAAAAAAAACAAACCAAAACTAAACATACATGACTCAAGATCTTCATCTAAAAGAACATAGGACAATCTCCCCACCTTTGAATTCTGGTATCCAACATACACACAAACTGGATGCGATATAGTTTCTACTATGTAATAATCTCTTGCTTAACCAGAAAACAGAAAATATTTAAAATGTAAACATTAGGCACTACCAAAAAAAGGGAAGAGGAAGAGAAAAGGAGGAGAGAGCAGGGGATGAAACAAGGAATTAAGATGTGTTGTGCGTATGTGCCAGCTCCACACAAGGACTGTGATCGTTATACACTGTATATACCTACTAATGCACTGAAGTAATTTTTAAAAATTTAAAAAGTCAAAATGCTGTTTTATAACGATAAACCCGAAATATACTACAAAACTGTGGAAGAAGTCTGATCTAACATTAGATCAGACTTATCTTTTGAAAGATAAATTGTTCGTCAAAGAGCGCTCCTTTATACAAAATTCTAATTTGTGCCTGCCTGGCAAGCACAAGGTCGTGAGTTCGATTCTGGTACCAGAAGAAAAACAAACAAACAAAAAAAAAAAACAAACGAAAAACAAAAACCTAATTTGTAAGTAGCTTTTACATGTGAATACTCTATACTCTCGTACTACCCTAAGCACCACCCTGTAATAAGAAGTCACTGAATGGCCCCTGGTTTAGAAGGTGCTCCCCAAGCACTTCACTTTGAAATCACTCACAGTTTTACGCTTTTAGAAGCATACATGCTCTTTGCCATTTTATCCCTTTCACTCTCAGTTACTCAAGGAAAAACAGTTCTTCTCTAGATAAATCATTTTACTAAATCGGTCTAAAAACAGCCCTGTTGATGGATGATATACATAATACAGGAATATATGATTCTCAGTAATAATGAAAAGAACTGATAAAGCTGGAAGCAAAATTAGCAAAGAATGCAAGCCTTCCAAAATTCTTTGAACAAAGATTTTAAAAGGATATTTCATAATTTCTATCATCTCTTTTGAAAGCCTCTAATTAAACCTATTGCTACCTATCACATCCAAGTTAGTACTTTACTGTTTTTCCCTTTTAATTATTTTTTTTTAATTTTTGCTACCCTAGAATTACTGTTTTCTCACGCTTGCCTAGCAACCTAATCATCTCACAAAGATCCACAGCAAAATCCTCAACTGATAAGTTGTTCAACTATTACTTGTTTTTAGTTGGAGGGGCTCCTTATAAGTAAGTTAAGCATTTGAAAGGACCGAGTCTCTGAAAAGCGTAAAAGAACTATTTACTAACTCAATTCAAATTCCCCATTATATTGGTGAAGCATTTTTGAATCGAGAAATATTTACTATAACAGAGGATTTATTAATATAGTGCGCAAAATGTTAACATTAGATCAGACCAAAGGTTGAGTAAATTTCCCTACAACTGACCAGCTGTCTTTGGGAATTTTTCCCAACAAAAAATGGGGACAAATAATAGTACAAATGCCTCATAGGATCACTGAAGAGTAAATGACACAGTAACATAGAATTTATGACAATACCTAACACACTACAAACATTCAATGTACGCAACCGCTGTGACAACACTGACCAACACCAAGACTTGTACTTCACTATGTGTCTATCACTGATACACATGTGATCAGCAATACGCACATTTAAGACCAACGATCAAGAAGCATCTTTGAAAGATGAAGAGAAAGCCTCCACACCCTGTCCACTTCACAAAGAATCTCAGTACGTTAGGCTAAACAAAGCTATGTGTACAAATCATAACTACTTCTGTGTCACATAGAGACAAACATTTAGCATGTAAGAGTCCAGATAAGGGTCCAGTTTCTAAGGTCACATAAACCTGTATTAGAATACCACTCCTCTCTCTCCTTATTTATGCTGGCCTTAAACTCAAACCTTGGTCTTGGTTATTTTCAGACCACAGTATCATAACAAGAAGATAAAGAATGAAATTACTACAATATACTACAAATTACACAGAACATAAACAAATTATTACAACTGTATAGCTAGTTTCAGGCATTAGTTTACCATAGAACCTTACAGTTTCCCAAGTCAACTGACTACGTATAAAACTAATAATAGATAACATGTGCACAGTTATGTGGCAAACATTTTGCTAAGCCTTTTTCAGGGATTATTCCGTGTCTCACAGCAAGCCTAGAAGACAAGTTACCTTATCCTTACTTCATGAATGAGGACACTGTAAAGAGGATAAATGTTGTCTGTAAGATCTCACAAGAGGTAAGATGAAGAGTTAAAACTGAAACTCGGGGAGTCTAACTGTAGGGCCAACAACATACCATTCTGTCTCCTTAGCAACAACACAGGACAAACTAGGAGCACCCAAGTAAAACATGACACATACATGCTGAGGAACAGCTTATAACAGCACTCACGTACAGAAGGAGTATCCCTTCCCTGAAACATCTGGGCCCAGAGGTATTCCAGATATGGGATTTTTTCAAATTCTAGAATTTTGTGTATGTGTGAGGACTCTTGGGGGCAGGACCGAAGTCCAACAGAAAATTCACTTATGTTTCATAACACACCTTACTGCACACACTGAGGCAATTTTAGTGGAAGTGAATTAAGTGCACCTGCATTCTGACTGCAATCCATTACGCAAGGTCAGAGATGGAATTTCCAAGTACAGCAGCACACTGGCTCTCAAAAGTTTTGGATGTTGGAGCACTTCTGATTTCCTATTTTTGGATTAGGTGTGCTTAACCTATATAAACACATCTCAGCTGTTTTGATTATTAGGAGAAACAAGACAACCAGAGTTTTATGTAATATTATTCTGAACTAAAAACAATGACCTAGAAGTTCAAATTCCTATCTCACCATTCTTGTGCAAAAATCTTATTTTAGTAAGTGTTCTGCTAAGACACAGCTTATAATTGCATCTAATTTAAATGTGTTTGTTTTTGAAGATGTTTTAAGTCTTTAAAAAATCACATGAAATGGCTCTTCAGATCTCACCTTCATTTCACACTGCAAAGAAGAAATACTACAGTTCACAAACAAGTAAAACCCAAAAAATTTCTTCCTGAGACTTATTTATTGCTTTACATCAAAGATTAACAGACTGTGGCAGGCAACATGGTACACATCTGAAATCCCAGCACTCTGGGAGGCTGAGATAGAAAGGTCACAAGTTTGAACCCAGCATGGGTTCAAAATTTAAAAACCCTGTCTCAAAATTTAAAAAATAAAAGAGCTGGGGGATATCGCTCAATGCAAAGGCCTGGGTTCAACTCTCGGTACTGAATTTAAAAAAAGAAAAAAGATGACATTTCTACATAGATCAAAATGGTTATTAACTGTCTTAGAAATATTTTGTTTCAATCAGTTAATTAAAAATAACCAATTTCAACAAAATTGTGTTGTTAATAATTTCCCTTCAGGCCTCAGGCTGACTTATTAAAATAAAACTCTAGGACTGCATTTCAAAACCTTTTCATCAGAATATATCCTAAGTTAATTTCCAACTTATATCCTTCTTTTATTACCAAATTGAACATCCCTAATCTGAAAATCTGAAAGGCTCTAAAACTGAAACTTGGATGTTCAAGAAGTTTCAGACTTCAGATTTTCGGTTAGGGAGATTTCAACAAGTCAAGTCCGCTAACATTCCAAATCCAAAACAATGAAGTCTGAAACACTTCTGATCTCAAGAATTCCAGATAAGGGATAACCAACCCGAACTACCAATTTTGCTACCATGTACTGCTTCTGTGAAAGTCTTCTCACCTTTTCTATACGCTATACCATTCTTAAAGCAAGAAACACTCTTTCTAGTCTCCATATGCGTAAGAGCTAGCAGTATCTTAGACATAGAAGACTCAGATACTTACCACCAAATGGAAGTCAATAAAGATAAGCATTTAATAACTTCTCATTGTTATCTTCAATTAAAATCTTTTTTTCACTTTTTTATTATGAAAATTTTCATATACACAGAAAAAACGAAATAGTTCAATCATCCAGTACATCTTACAATTATATAGCGGTCAAAACTCTAGTTAAGGACTGCCAGGAAGATGGCAGAGTGGTAAGCAGCAAAGAGCCTCTCTGAGAGTTGCTGTCCAGACACTGGATTACAGCAACACAAAGAAGACAAGAGGAGGGCAGTGGGTCCCCTAGAACCAGGAAAAATCTGAAGCTAGAATTGAAGCCCACGGAAACAGTGAAGAAACTTCAATAAAGAAGAAGGAGGTAGCCAGTGGAGCCTTCTCCCTGAGTCAGGACTCACTGCAGGGGAGGAGGAGTTCAAACCTGTGGACACACAGTGACTACTTGTAACACCAGAGGCCTCCACAGAGACATGCAACAGTGGAAGGGCATGAAAAAACTGCACTACCTGGGGTTGAATGCTTGGAGCTCAGTCAACCCTTGAGAGAGAGCAACTGGCCAGGAGCCATCTTGGAGAGGGGCCTACTGAGCTCAGAACTCAGAACAACTGCTGGGTCCATGTAGCAGCTTCCAGCTGAGTTCAACCCTGCAAAAGGTACACTGAGGGCTGGAGGCTGAATGGGTCTGGTCTCAGCTTCATAGCCAGACTCTATCCTGAACTTCAGGGGAAAAACAGGTGCAGGCTCATTGAGATTATACACTACCCCACCACAAAGCTACTGCTGGCTTGCTGGGATAAATCAACACAGATCCGGACTCTGTCTCCACACCCTGTCTACCA